GCGGCGGGGGCGGCAGCAGCTAATACTGTGATTTTCTTATGTTCTTAATCCATGGCGTGGCGTTTGGAACCGGTGGGACCGAAAACTGTTGGCCGGCTCTAGCAGCTGCAAGAGCCTTGTTTTTTTGTGGAATGTTGACGCAGAATGTTTTGAGATGTCCGACATTATACTGTACATGAGCGAAGCCTATGGCAAGAAGCAAAAAATATCTAGATTGATGGAAAATCGAAACGTCCAATATTGCTGGATACTCGTGGGATCGATGATGAGAAGGGTCTTAAGGGTCTCTATATCATGCTCGACGTTGGCGTTGCATTCCATTTGCATTGCGCCTTGCCTTTGTGCTCCTTTTTGTTTTCCTTTCTCGCTTGTTCTCAATGCCACGGTCGTACAATGCAGGAACGAACCCTTCGGCGAACTTGGTGTGCTTGTATTCCCCGTTTCGCACCAAACATTCCAGCTATCCCATGGCCGATTGCAGGCCACTGGCCTGACTGTCCGGTGTACACGTGCGACGACACAGTGAGCAGGGAAGCAATTCGAGCTGCATACCGTGGGAGTTCCATGGTGTTGTTCTGGTAGCTTGTGTGACCGAGAGGATTGCTCCGACAGTCAGCTTTTCTCACCATCAACTCGGCAGAGGACTCCGTGACGAGGTGCTTTTTGTTCGACGCTACGCAAATACAGAGAAGATCAAGGTCGAGATCGGCGCAGTGGTGTGGCCGTAGGGTTGCCCCGATCTTCTTTGGACTTCGCCCGCATTTTGCCCGAGTCTTTTGCCTCTTGTGCTGCCTACTTTGTATGGTGCTTTTTAAGGCAGGAAGTAACACTAGATGCGATATAGGTGCAGGGCGACTGAGACCACAAGGGCCATGGGAAGGCCTCGGGATCTCGGCTTTGGATTGAGATTCGAGGCAGAAGAAAGCCCGAGCACCTTTTAGGAGTGACAAGGCTATCATACTCAGGGTGAGTGAAGCGAGTGAGTGAGCGAGTGGCTCGCTCAGATCTTTGCATCAAGTCGAAGCTTCCCTTGGCTTCATGCAAGTCGCCACGAAAAACTAGCAAAAGACCTTCCTATCCGATGATGGAACGTTGATCTGCATACATCACATTATCTCAATGACTGCGGTGTCCTGCACATTGCCGTCTGCAAGGTCGACTTTCACCCTCTCCTCCACTCAATTCCGCTCCCGCCACTCTCCCTCACAAGCTCTTATCGTGGCCATTCCCCAGCCGTTGAGGGTCCGGCCGTGCCCCCCATTATCCTCCGGAGACGGAGAGCCCACTGAGATCAAACACAATTTTCAGCAATCTATCCGCCTCGTATTTAGCTGGGATGCCCTTATTGGTGACATGGGTTTTCTGTGGACACTTTGGAACGACTCGAGATTTCACCTTCATCCACAGCTCTGTGGGAAATATGGAGAAGATGGCGACCTTGATGGCCTTCGAGCCCGTTCGAGTGGAGTTCTGGGGTTACATGAGCATCTCCTACTCAACGTGATCGGAACGCAGTGGAAATGAAAGGTGAGGAAATGTATAAGGGTCCCTCTATCCCGGCCGCCTCGCATGGTTCTGTCTCGCTCTTCTCTTCTAGACCAAGCTGTTCTCAAGGCACGGGAGCTGAGACACAAAGCCCTCGCTGAATATACTCGATTCTCTCACGAGTGACTGCCAAAATGGCTTCTCACGAGGTCCCCCAGGACTACATCCATGACTCTGACCAGAGTTCTTTGAGCGGCGTCAAGACCGACGCAACAGAATTTCAAGAGGACATCGGGCCAGCAACGACCTTGAGGCGAGAACCACCTCCATATGTGAAGTCGTTCAGTCCAGAGGAGCGAAGGATCGCAGAGCGGGCCCTTGTTCGAAAGATCGACTTTCGTCTGATCCCTATGATTGTCATCATGTGCGCCCACCGAACCACGTCCCTCGACAGCTAATGGTGAAACTGACATGGTAATCAGGTATATTCTGAACTACCTCGATCGCAACAATATTGCCGCGGCTAGACTGGCTGGCCTCGAGGATGAGTTGAAACTTCATGGCACTCAATACCAGACGGCAGGTTAGCCTTCACCCATCCATCCACGCCAGATGCAAGTCCACGTTTACTCACATTTCTCATCTTTTTAGTCAGTATTCTCTTCGTTGGTTACTTGCTTATGCAAATCCCGTCCAACTTGTGCCTCAACAAAATCGGAAAACCACGTGTCTACCTTCCCATAGCTATGATCATCTGGGGCACCATCTCCGCTGCTACAGCTGCTGTTCAATCCTTTGGAGGCCTGATCTCTGTTCGATTCTTCCTCGGTTTCGTCGAGGCTGTATACTTCCCAGGATGTCTCTATTTTCTGAGCGCCTGGTATACTCGCAAAGAGCTCGGTTTCCGAACAGCGATGCTGTACTCAGGATCGCTTATCTCCGGTGCCTTCTCGGGTCTCATTGCAGCAGGCATCACGAAGAACATGGACGGAACCGCGGGCCTACGAGCTTGGAGATGGCTGTTCATCATTGAAGGCAGCGTTACCATACTCATTGCGTTCATTGCAATCTTCGTTCTGCCGAACTTCCCTCGAACAACGACGTGGCTGAGCGCAGAAGAAAAGCAGCTGGCCGTGTGGCGACTTGAGGAGGACATTGGGGAGGACGACTGGGTGGGTGCCGAGGAGCAGACTTTCTGGCACGGATTTAGGCTCGCGGTCAAAGATATCAAGATGTGGATTATGGTGAGCCTGCGGATACTCTTCTTACTCTGTCTGATCGGATCTGTCTAACTCAGTTTTGTCTAGATGCTAATGCTGTTCTGCATCGTGGCGTCTGGCTCCGTCACAAACTTCTTCCCCACGGTCGTTCAGACACTCGGATACGGCGACATCGCCTCGCTGCTGCTCACGGCACCACCATACGTGCTGTGCGTCATCACGGCTTTCTTCAACGCCTGGCACGCCGACCGCACAGGCGAGCGCTTCTTCCACGTCACACTGCCTCTCTACGTGGCCGTTGGATCCTTCATCCTTGCCGCCGCGACCACGGCAACCGCACCGCGCTACGTCGCCATGATGCTCATGGTTCCCGGCGTGTACACCGGCTACGTTGTCGCGCTGGGGTGGATCAGTAACACGATGCCCCGACCGCCCGCCAAGCGCGCCGCGGCGCTGGCGGCCATCAATGCCGTCAGCAACACCTCGTCCATCTACGCGAGCTACATGTTCCCCAAGAGCGACGGGCCGCGCTACGTCCTGGCCATGAGCGTCTGCTCCGCCACGGCGTTCGTCGCCATCTGCGCCGCCACCGCCCTGAGGGTCATCCTCGTCCGGCTGAACCGCAAGCTGGACCGCGGCGAGTGGGTCGAAGGCGCCATCAACTCTGGTTCTGCTTCCAGGCACAGCGACGGCAAGGCCGTGGGAAATCATGTCATTGTCCAGGAGGGTGCAGTGCCTGTGGAGGCGGCTGCACGAGGGTTCAGGTTCTTGCTGTAGCACTACGACCGGAACTGCTGTACACTCCAGCGGGCTGACTGACTGACTGACTGACTGAATGAGCGAGTCCTCGAACGTCGAAATTGTAGTATAGCTTGGTACGCATGCGGGTGCCACATACGGACTAGTTGGCTGCTAGACATAGACTAGACTATATGATGAAATATGGATAGATGGATGAATGACAATAACGACGTCATATCAAGGTCAAGACTCAATATAGAATACGAGGGTACATATGTACCAAGGATGGAGAATAAGGAATGCTGGGGTCTACGGGTAGAAAGCTCTATTCACATCCCCTTATCTCTCTCTCTGTGCGTGTGTGTGTACGTGTGTGTGTGTGTGCTGCGAGCGAATTCCAGGAGATTTAAACACACCACAGCCCGAACCTCAGTCTCATTCTCTTTCGCAGTCTCAATCCTCGAGCTCGACCTCAGCCTCAACCTAACCTTACGCTTGACAGTAGGCCTAGCCTTAACGTCACGACCAGCCTCAATCTCAATCCCAGGGGCTCCGCCTCGAGAACAGCCCGGTGGCCTCACTAGCCTCAACTCCGACCTAAAGGATACGGAGGGCAAGGAAAAGAATGCGTACCAAGTACAAGTACGGGCAAACCTCCCTGTCCGGCTGGGGTGCGTCGTCAGGCACAGTCACGAGACTAGGAATCTACTCCGTACTCCGTATTCCGTATCCAGGTACGGAGTATTGGACCCCATCTATCTACTTGGTACTTCAGCCTCGTCAACTCGCCGGACCGATCAAGCACGTGATAGAGGGTCCGGAACCTCCCTCGTCAGGGCTATGTTACCTCCTGGTACTACTCTTTATAACGCATGAGTCAGGCAGGGTGATTATGTGCCGTTAAAGTACAAGTAGAGAGTTGTTGAACTGGTGCACCGGACTTTGTCTTCTCACCTCCTCGGATTACTCCGTTGGCCGTTGGCCGTACTTGTTGCGCAATACAGAGCCGAAGCCTCGAGTGAGCGCGGGATTGTGTTTCACACGTGAGTCCAGCGCGAGACGCACACACGCACGCGTCTGAAACAGTAGCATATCATTCGGCATCGGCCGTCGCCGCGTCCCTTCATTATCGCTCCCGTGCTTCTACTTGTGGCTGTGCGTTGCACAAAATGGCTCACTGTGGCGTGACGCGCCTCCTCTGGGAAACTGACCAGGACAAGCGTACAGGATAAGTCTTGAACTGGGCATAGCAATGAAACAGTGCAAGGCCTCAATGGGTCGTGGCGAGACAGATAGAGGGATCTTGAAGTGTTGTTTGCGGCGATCGCAGTACTCCTGCGGTCTCTTCCCGTACGTCTTGTGTGAAGGTGGTAACATCGGCAGGCAGGGCACCGGCAGAGCTCTGAGCGGATCAGACATCGGCCGCTGTACCTGGCCAGCTCGTAACGGTGGAAAATATCACCCTGGATCCGTGGCCCACACTGTGACTTCGCTTAGTAGCCAAGCATGGCGCCGAAAAAAGAGGTTTGTCCATTGCTGCCGAAGGCAACGGGTTCATTGAATGATCGATTTGAATCCATTGTATGCTTGTTCCATGTCGAAGGCCAAATCCCTGGCCTGCTCCTCGCTCAGCTCCTCTGACGTCTTCATCTGATTGAGCGTGATCAGCCATTGGATAATCTTCCCGCGATTTTCAAAATCCTGGTCTGTGACTTTGTTGACCGACTGGATCACATCTGACAGTATCGGATGCAACTGGGTCTTGGAGAACATATTCAAGCGGAGTGCATCAAGAAATGTGATGAAATTCTCCGTCGCTGCGAGGATCAAGCTGCCCGAAAGGTTGCCTTGGGGAGCTGTAGATCCAGGAGTGGCCTTTGCCACGGTGATTGTTTCCACGCTGGAAAGCCCGACTTTTAGACGTTCTTTGGCGCGGGGACACTCAATGTCCCATTTTTGCGTGAATGTATCCAAGTCTCCAAACTCGCGCGCCACATTTTCATCGTTCAATATCGATCGATACTGCTTGAGAAGTTTCGAACACATGTCCGAGTACTCTATTTCTGGAAGCGCATCTTTGATGTATGCTTTTTCCAGTCCGTCAAGGGTGCGAATGATGCTGTAGATCTCGGCGAGGGAGTCAATCAGGTCACGCTCGGCAGCAGAGTCCGCGAGTTTGACTTCTTCGTCAAGGTTGATCCGGGCGGAGAGAGTGTTTGTTGCTGGATACGCATAAGGGGTCGGCGCATAGGCCAGATTACGGGTTGAAGGGTTGTTGTACATCGTTGACTGCCACTTGAGCAGCAGGGTGAATATCTAGAAAGATGGTCAAGTGAATGGCGAGGCTGAGAATGGGATGTGAACTGAGCGTAATACTTTTAGAGCCTGTCAAGAGGCTGTGAGGGGAAGTTTGCCAAGTTCGGCACATGCGGGGAAACTCCGGCATAACTTCGGCTTGGCATAGTTTTTTCTCGGACTTCACAGTTTGTCTGCGAATTGCGAAACCAAGCTCATGCAATCAACCCTTTGCGTCAGACTGCAAAAGGCCTTGTTGTCGCCGAGATAACCTTGGCTATAGCCGACATCATGGGCAAACAGACGAAAGCCACCAAAAAATTCGAGAAGAACCGCCTCAAAGACACGATTGAACGACGAAAAGAGTTCGCTAAGATCAAACAGCGGCACCAGCTGAAAGCGAAAAAGAAACAAAGAGCGACACAGAGAGCAAAAGAGGAGGAAGGTGATAATAAGTCAAATGTTGAGACTGACGATAATGATGCCGAGGATATGAATGAAGATGAGTTCTTTCAGGACACGCTGGATATACCAGAGCATGAGACAAAGACGCCGAAGAACAAGAGCGGAAAGCGGAAGAGGGACGACATCATCAACGATGAACCTGGAGACGTTGAGAGCGATGGCTCAGAAGATGCAATCGAGGGCCACAAAACTCAACTGGCTGCATTGGCCGAGAAGGATCCTGAATTCTACAAATACCTTCAGGAAAACGATGCAGAGCTGTTAGAATTTGACGAAGACGACGATCTCGCGGCAGTGGACGACCTCAGCGAAGAAGAACCTCCCACCAAGAAGCAAAAGACCAAGGATGTCCATACAGAGGAGCCTGAGTCACCGGATGAGATTACCCTAGCGATGGTCAAGAAGTGGAAGGTCTCCTTAACCGAACAATTCTCCATAAGAGCTCTCAGACAAGTGGTGCTAGCTTTCCGCGCCGCGGCACATGCGGACGATGAAGAGGATAAGGTCTTCAAATACAACATTGCCAGTCCGGAGGTGTACCATGAGGTCCTCATAACGGCCCTGAAGCAGGTACCCCTGGCTCTATCACATCATCTTCCAGTCAAGGAGTCGGCTGCTGGCAAGCTGCGCATCCCGACAGACTCCCCCAAGTTCAAGACTCTGGCACCGTTGATCAAATCACACGCCTCATCTCTTCATTACTTGCTCGAGCATTTGTCAGACGCAAAGACCTTGAGGTTGACGCTCGAGTCCTTTGAACCGTTACTCCCATATCTCCTTCAATTTCGCAAGTTTCTGAAGGTGCTCACGAAAGCCGTCGCATCAATCTGGTCCGACAACTCTTCGGATGAAGCAACAAGAATCACCGCTTTCTTGGTCATTCGTCGATTGATGGTGATTGGTGACGGTGGGATCCGCGAAGCTGTCTTGAAGGCGACATATGAGGGCGTCGTCAAGGGCAGCCGCAATACATCAATCCATACTCTCGCGGGAATCAACTTGATGAAAAACTCGGCAGCCGAGATTTGGGGCATCGACCAGAAGGTCAGCTACACAACAGGCTTCACATTCATTCGCCAACTGGCCATTCACCTCCGTGGCAGCATTACCAAACCGACCGGGGACTCATACAAGACTATATACAATTGGCAGTTTGTCCACTCTCTTGACTTCTGGTCTCGGGTATTGTCCAGCCACTGCAACTCACTGCTGGAAGCACAGAACGGCAAACCTTCACAGCTACGCCCACTCATTTACCCGGTTGTGCAGGTCACCCTGGGCGCGATGAGGCTGATACCGACATCCACATACTTTCCTCTTCGGTTTCAACTCATGCGGTCTCTGCTGCGTATCTCGCAAGCAACCGAGACATATATACCTTTGTCAGCCGCACTCCTGGAGGTGTTGAACTCAGCACAGATGAAGAATCCCGCAAAGCCGTCAACTGTACGACCTTTGGATTTCGCAGCGAACATCAGGGCCCCTACGTCACATTTGAAGACGAAGGTGTACCAAGACGGAGTGGGAGAACAGGTGGTTGAATTACTTTCCGAGTTTCTTGTACTGTGGACGAAGAGCATTGCGTATCCCGAGCTCCAACTGCCAGTCATCATCATGCTGAAGCGATGGTTGAAGGCAGCTTCGAAGCCGAGCGGGAACAAGAACGGCAAGCTCAATCAATCCCTTCTTGTGCTAGTACAGAAGTCGGAAGCCAATGCTCAGTGGATCGAGGAAAGGAGGAACATGGTCAACTTTTCTCCGAAGGACCGGACGGAGGTAGAAGCATTCCTGAAAGACGTGAAATGGGAAGACACCCCTCTTGGAGCGTTTGTCGTGTCGCGAAGAAAGCTACGGGAAGAAAGGAGAAAGGTGCTTGAACAAGGGAGGAAGGAACAAGAACGACGAAAGGCGGCGGAAGAAGATGCCGACAGCGATATCGAGATTGCTTGATTCCACATAGGGGGCAACAGATCCATATCAATGTCCAACAGTGGCTCGCCATTGACAATGGCACAAGATGAAACTATTCTTTGACCAAAGAGTTTCCTTTCAGTGATGATGCCCTAATTCTCTCCCCTCCCCGGTCGTCACTTGTCTGCAGGATCCAAGGGCTTCTGTCCTTGTTTTTCAACCTCGCGCCTCTTCTGCTCTGCAGGCTTCTTGGGATCCCTTTTAACCGAATCCGCGTCCTGAGCTTCGTCTCGACCACCGTGCACACTGCCTTGTTCAGTCGGGTGCTCTATGCTGCTGGTATCCTGGGGACCATCTCCCGTGGCCTTTGATCCTCTTGTGCTCTTGTCCTGTGGAGACGCAGACTTAGGGTTGTCCTTTGCTATGTTCGTCGCGTTGGGGGCATCGCCTTTCGTTGTGGTGGCGGACCAAGTTATTGCAAGGGGTGGTCTTCGATAGACTCGGTGAGTTGGGATCTCGATTGGCAGCTCGGTCGCATTTTCAGGCACGAACACACCCTGAAATGGTTGAGTCCAACTGTGGGGCGAGAGCGAGCAATTGACAGGCGATGTGTCGCCCGCCGGAGTAAGGACCGCGCATTCATGTCAGCGACTGGGAGTTCTGTGCTTTGCAGGTGGCGCGCCTTTTTCTCTGTCAGCAAATTCCTCGACTTGCACATTGGGCATCAAAAGGAAGATTGTATTCTGAGGCATCGCTGCCCTCAAATGGGCTCAGATCACGATAGACCTCATCATCATCACCCCTGAAGTACCATAGGCATCTATGCACCAGTATTGGTCGCATTCAGCATCTAGATGGAGGTCATGAAGCGAGAGGCATCTGGCAGCTATAACGGTTGTGGGTGATAGATCCGAGAGGCAACCAGTGAGCGGAGCACCAGTCCGAATTCTATTGGAACGTCAATGAGTGAACAGCCTCAACTCAACTCGGTGGCCGGGGTCGTTGCTTTTGCTGAATGAGGCTTGATGAGGCCCAAGACGCAGAGGGATTATCTGAGCACTCAGCAAACACGAGCTCTCCACGTCGGCGACACAAGCTTCCCGTTCCAAGCGACGGCCTACCAGTAGTGAACCAGAATGGCAATGAAAGGTGCCTGAGCGCGTTGAGACATCAGGTGATTGTTACCGAAGTGAGGGCCCCTGGGGCTCCAAGCGCTCTTCAAGCGTGGGTTCTCGCATAAGCTTGCGAGCTTGGAAACTCGCTTCCTGCATTGCCGAGGCCGCCACAGCCACCCAAGCGGCGGCGGGTGACTTGGATCCCGTCGCATCTTGCATGGTGACTTGTGGCCAACAGTGGCTCATGACCTTTCGGAGAGCCCTTGGTGAGCCTTTGATGACCCTGGTTCGACGTCACCTCCATCACCGCCAGCCGTGTCTTGTAACGCTTCGTTGTCACTGCAATTCTCTCAATTTTCACGCACCGTCAACTGCGCGGTACCGTGTTGATGCTTCACCGCATCTCTGCAACCGAATATTAACCAAGAACCCCCCCTACAACTGATTGTCCTTTCTACATACCAAGTCTCTCCCATAACATCCGAGAACAACCTAGTCACAAACAATGGGCGACCCTGGCAGGAGTTTTAGCACCCAGGTTCACCACGACTTTCAAGGCAAATGGGGCCGCCAGTACCACCGGAGTCGGTCACTGAGTATCAAACTTCCAGATCGATTGGATATTGGAACTACCCTCAGTGTAAGTAACGGAACAATCCCCCCCCCCAAATGCACAGACCGTCTACACTGGTCCTCGACTCGCGTGTTCATCGCAAGTCCTTGTCCGTGGCCGAAACACTTTTAACCTTGCCTTCTCCCCTATAGGAGTACTGGGCTGGTCTTGCCATCGAGGAAGAAACCGACAGAGCACTCAAGATTGGAATTGCGATTCATGATGGCACGTATGGCATTGACTTTGCTGTCCATCGCATATCCCTGGACGAGGAGGAGGAGCAGGATAGGAGTGGAGACGGAGACTGGGTTGCAGACCATATCATCGAGGAATTGTCCAACTACAGAAGACAGCATGTGTGCAAAATTCTTGGAGCAGGAGTGATCGCGAGTGTCCATGAAAAGAGCCCGAATTTGTGCTCAAGGCTGTGGTCCGAGTTGGACATCGTACCTATGCTGGTCACCTCAAACCCTCTTGTTCAGTCGAGCAACCCACGGGCAAAACCACAGAGAGTGGACGAAATCGCCGACTCGGCAGCCAGGAAGTGTCTAGCGTAAGTTTGGACCCTAGCAACTGTCCGTGCCTCGGTCATAACTTGATCAGACTATATGCTCCCACGAAGCAACCGCGTTTGTCAATCAGCTTCCAGAACCAGGTCGAAGTCGATCTGGGAGGTACTATTCAGCTTACCACTATCGACGACTACAAGGCATCCGTTCGAGAGCCAACCTGGCGGGCCGTGCAGAAACATATCCAGGATGTGGTGGACCGCAAACTCAGAGTTGTCTTTTTCAGTGCAACACCTCAGGGAGGCGGAGTGGCTCTGATGCGGCACGCCCTGCTCCGATTCTTGAGGCTCTACAATGTGAATGTGGAGTGGTATGAGACACTTACCCCCCCCCCCCCCCCCCCCCCCCCCCCCCCCCCACATCCATATGCATTGTGCTTACCCTGCATATTATATAGGTTTGTGCCCAAGCCAAGGCCCGACGTTTTTCGAATCACCAAAACAAATCACAATATCTTGCAGGGCGTGGTTCCTCCTGAAGTCCACGCCACGGACGAGCAGCTTGGCAAGATCAAAGAGTGGATTGTCGACAATGCGGAGCGGTACTGGCTCGGTGAAGGTGGGCCACTTACCGCCCCCAAGGACGGCGGTGCAGACGTCATCATCATCGACGATCCTCAGATGCCAGAGCTCATCCCCATTGCGAAGAAGTTGGCACCGGATCGGCCCATCATTTTCCGCTGCCATATTGAAGTCCGCGACGATTTGGTGCTGGAGGAGGGCAGCGCCGCCCAGCATGTTTGGCGTAATATGTGGTCCAGTATCAAACATGCGGACGTCTTCCTCAGCCACCCTGTGCGCTCTTTCGTTCCACCTGATGTCCGCAAGGAGACTCTGGGCTGGCTTCCGGCTACAACAGATTGGTGAGTATCTGTACGAGAACTCAGCATCGGTGAAGTGCCTGACTGAATTTGTAGGCTTGACGGTCTCAACAAGAACATGGATGACTGGGATCTGCAATATTACTTACACATCCTCAGGCAGCTTTGTCAAGCCCAGAACCTTCCGCAGCTTGCATACCCAGACCGAGGCTATTTCACGCAGATCGCGCGGTTTGATCCCTCCAAGGGAATTCCCGACGTCATCAAAAGCTACGCCAAGTTCCGAGAAATGGTGAAAGACCAGCCCAAGGAGAAAATACACCAATTGGTGCTTTGTGGGCACGGCTCGGTGGACGATCCTGATGCGACGCTGATCTATGAAGAGACCATGAGCTTGGTTCTCACACAATTCCCCGACTTGGTCGACGACATTATCGTGGTTCGACTGGGCCCTAGCGACCAGATCTTGAACGCTATCATGTCGCTTTGCACCGTCGCCCTGCAGCTATCAACAAGGGAAGGATTCGAGGTAAAGGTCTCGGAAGCTTTGCACAAGGTAAACGTACGTCGTGTTTCTTCCTGAAAGTTTGACGCTGACAGGGTTCTAGGGCAAACCCATCATTGCCACGCTCGCCGGTGGTATCCCTCTTCAGGTCGAGGATGGCAAGAGCGGTTACCTTGTCCGACGAGGTGACCACGACACCGTTGCCAAGCATCTTTATAATCTGGTCACCGACAAGGACCTTTATGGCAGGATGTGCGAATACGCAAGGAACCATGTTAGCGACGAAGTCCAGACAGTTGGGAACGCCCTCTCCTGGATGTACCTTGCCGCCAACGTGTCGAACGGAAGCACGCTGAAACCGAACGAGAGATGGATCAACGACTTGGCCCGAGAGGCTGCTGGCGAACTATACAAGGATGGCGAGCCATGCTTACCGCGGCACTTGTCTACTTGATTCACGAGTTGTCACTTTGTATGAAGGCGTTGCGAGCGAGACGATTTTCTTTCCACCCTCTCCTCACTCATTCAGCATTCAGCATTCAGCATTCAGCATTCAGCATTCAGCATTCAGCATTCAGCATTCAGCATTCAGCATTCAGCATTCAGCATTCAGCATTCAGCATTCAGCATTCAGCATTCAGCATTCAGCATTCAGCATTCAGCATTCAGCATTCAGCATTCAGCATTCAGCATTCAGCATTCAGCATTCAGCATTCAGCGTGCAGCATGCAGCATTTATCATTCATCGTTCATCATTCAGCATTCAGCATGCAGCATGCAGCATGCAGCATCATCATTCATCGTTCAGGGGCTTCAACCAGACTGCATCTACGGGTTGACGATATCCTGATTCCGTTGATCGGATTGTGTCTTGAAGCAATTAGATTGGGGATACCAAGTCCCTCAGACATAGAGAGAACAAGAGAGGGATAAGAGTCTGAGAGCGTCGGTAGACTTGTTGATACGCTGCAGACAGGCCAGTCTCCCCTTTCGCAAGTCCAATTCCAATGGCGGTCGACGGGGCCACAGCGGTTTCATTCTGTTTACAAAGTCAAATAACGGCCAATCACACAGTCGTGTACATAAACGTGGTTACTATTGTAACCACTCATTAATCGAATCTGCGGTCTTGCTGACTGTGAGACATGCATGTCAAGTTACATCTACTGTCAAGGTGGTGGATGCTGTCCTTTCCGGCGCTGCCGAGACTTGCGGCGCTCCGCGTCTTCGCCTGATGTTCAAGTTCCCCGCGCTTCTTGTTCTGTGTTTTGTTGACAAACCAACGCTACCCTCTGGACTAAGTCTTAGGACGATTGTGCAGAATCTCTTCAGCGCAACATGTATCGCAAGCGCAACGGTTCTCTTGGTTTCTCCTTCACCCGCTTCGCCAATGCCGCCGTCCCAAACTTCTTCGCAGATGAAACACCCTCTCGCATGGTTGACCTGACCGGCTACCGCCGAGATATGTGCTACATGCATCAAATCGCCTCGGCCAACCCCTATACGCTTGACGAGCGATCCTTCCATGTTGCCGGAGTGGTGGATTCGGAGAGTGTGAGTAGGAAGGTCTATGCAAAGCTCAAAAAGAACGAGATATTGAAGGAGGATGGACTGGTGGACACGCATAAAATCGGGCCCAAGTTCACCCATCAACTGGCACTGTTGAACATCTATCGGCAGAAGGATCTGGTGGGAATGCTGTTCTGGTGGGAGGAAGAGTGCCAGCGTCTACGCAAATTAGACGCCGAAGAGAAGGACCTCGACGCGTTAATATCCGAATCAGAAATCAAGCTCACCAAGACTGAGGAGGACAGTGAAGAGAAACAGTGGGTGAAAGAAAGCTTGGATCAGTTGAAATTCGCGAGAGAGCGGGTGAGGATGAAGAGAAGACAGAGACCCAGTCAGCGGGATCCAGATGTCGAGGCCGACAAGGACGATATCATCATGGCGTTCCATGGACGGAGTAAGAGCGTACCAAACGTCGGTGTTGACGTGGTGGCAACAGGTTCAGAGAGACCGATACAACAGGGACAGCCTCCGCAGTATTTTGCGGGTCCTTGAAGAATGCATTGATGGCTCGTTCCATGGCATACTTGATTTGAAGAGGGACGTCTTCACAGAAGATGTTCAAAGACAACCCATCTGCGGAATCAACCCCATCAAACACTCACCTAATCAAGAGCTCCAACCCTACCCCAATCTGGGAAGCAGGACGCATACCATGGGACCTCTTGGACTCTCTTTGCCCAAGCTGCACATCAACTGATGGGGGATTTCAACCAGCGCAGCCGCCCGCTTCATTGAAGTGGGTTCGTCAAGGATTCGTCATGGCTGGGCTTCGCCCTGACGACGTCTGAGAGCCGACAGAAAGCATGGAAGAAGTACTTGGATGCTGTTTGTGATGTTGGTTTGATGTGGGATGGATGTGCGGCGGGATTACCTCGATCTTTTGGGCCGGCACCCCATACCGACATACCCAAACAGATACCTCCACGACGGCTCTGGCACTGCATTCGATTCACGCCTCAACGGGCTTCCAGGTGTGGTGATCATCACCTAGCCGATGCTGATGCCCTTGTCGGCTGCGTCAAAGACTGCTTTCCATCTCTACAAACTGCGGCATATCCTCTCACACGCCCATCAACTTTGCCTTCCGCGTCATGTTGTCGCTCATGATCTCAATCGATGCATATGAACCTCCACATATCCTGTCCGGCAGCAACGCCCAACATGCCGAAGCGCTGTGATAGCGTTGTTCAATTGCATCCCCTTGGCCGCAGTTGGGGGCGAAATACCTGAGACGGCGTCGACGACACTGAAACCATGCGATGCTACCTAGAGAGCATAGGAAAATTACCGATAAGATGGCCGTTGAGCGAAGTTTAGAAAAATGTATCTCTGGATATGTCGTCACCAAAGCCAGCATTGGCTATCTCGTCTCGGGGACCCAACTGTCGGCAGAACTCGATGCCCCGCCCGTTGAGAGAGTCGGCCTGAGCCAGAAGTATTTCCAGCAGTGCCGTTTGTCGAACGCACGCCTCATCGCTCTAGATCAAGTGCAAGGGCCAATCCAATAGGCCCGCCGCTTACTATTGGAACTTTTTGATAAGTGCATCTCTAGAGAGGGCCCCTCATGACGGCGCTGGAATTTTAAAGATGGCTCTGAACTCTAGCTTTACTTGGCGATCAGCTGTAGTCAGAAGCTTTGTGCCCTGGCATAAGGCTGTGGCTGCTTAGGGCTAGACGAGACAAGCGGGCCACCCCTTGGCTCCGCGCTCTGCCTATCGGATGTCTCCATAACTATCCGGGGCATGATTTCGAGGTCTAACTCGTGCCCTCGCGTATATAGTATTCTTTGTTTGTTGTTTATCATTTCTCAATCTCACTGTGGCTGCAAAACTATTGCGCGCATGGACACATTGCAATCTTTACGGAGTAACAATTCTCGCACAGGTTGACCACACAGGGAATCCAAACGACTAGCCTCCCTTGTCCATCATACGCCCGATGATCTACGCGAGCCTTCCGAGACCTTGCTCGCCTAGTTCCATAGGGGCTGGTCAGCACAGCTATCGGTTGGGAAGAACTGACCCCGAGGCCCTTCGACAGCTCCCCGAGACCTTTGCGTCGTTGGCGCTACATAATACGGTGGAGAAGGCCAGGAAGAGTCTGAGGGCTAAGGATCCCCGCACGGTCCAGGCACGGCGCTAGGCCAGTCGCACGTGAACTTCGTTTTCAAGTTGAGATTATACAAGGGCCCCTTGGGCTCCCTACGGTGCCAAGAGGAAGAAAGCTTGTGGTCCCTGGATTCGCTAAATCCTCCAGTGCCAAACCCTCCAAGCGGCGGATACCTTCACATTGTATTGCTGCACTGTAACATTGAAGAGTGGTTCGGTCAAGCAGAAACCCCATCACTTCACGTTCACGGCCCACATTCAAGCCCACGGAGTCAAAAGGAGGTAGAACCTAGATTGCGTGTGGACTGAAGGCTCACTGGCAGGTCGTCCGCCGCCCGTGCTTGTTTAATACCGAGAAGACCCAAAAACGAAAACGCTTAAAGGCAAAGCAGCTCCGCCTCGGATCATGCCTTCCAACCTTCCAGCCGGCCGGTTGGCGCGGAGCGTGAAACTCAAAACTCTTTCCTGCGACGATCTCTCTATCACTGGTTTCGCACCTACCGTGCTGCTCTGAAGTATCAATTCAGCGACATGGCAGACCCCTTGTCTATCGCTGCCAGTGTTGTTGGACTTGTTGCAGCGGCCGTCCACGTGAGCAAGGCCATTTCAGAGCTGCGGCACCTCGGTGAGTTACCGAGGCGCATCTACACCTTAAAGAACGAGGTCAGTGACTTTGAAGCGGTGTTACGTCAGGTCGAGGATGCACTCAATCAGCAGACTTTGGTCCCGGACAATGAACAAGGATCGCTCGAACCAATATTGAATAGGACCAAGGGCCATCTCGCAGATCTCGTAAAGGCCCTTCACCGTTTCGAAGACGCCTGCAAGGGAAGCAAAATCAAGATCATCGCCAACAGCGCCATCTGGCTTAGATATAGGACAATATTCCAACGCTCTCACGAAGATATACGCTCTGTCAAAACGACTTTGGCTTTGATGCTGGGGGCCTCCAACTCGTAAAATCTATCCTTCTACTGGAGAGCAATCGACTGACCATCGACTTGGGCGGGATCTGCATCACATTATTCTCGAGCTTCGCCAAGTCACCATCCTCACATCAGCCTCAGAAAAGATGCAGGAGTCCATCAACCAGACTGCGACAGATCATCTCGCATTAAGTTCCCGCATGGGACAGCAACATCAGGATCTTAGTGCTCGCCTTGACGCTCTGCAAAGGCTGATGGCCAGCGGGCAAGCGCGGGATGTGTCTGTTCCGGATCAAACTACAAGGCTCGATCAGAACCAATCAAGTACCCAAAATATTCGCGTTGTTGCTTCCCACCGCGTCCCATGTCGAAGATGGTGTCCTTGTGCTTGCCATGCAAAGCGGAATTTCAAGCTAGCGCCGCCAGGGATGATGGAGAATGTGCTCGGCAAAATATTTGTCGGATACTCGGGCCTTCCTGTCGTCAGCAAACCCTGCGACTTCAGAGGGTGTAGAGATCGACAAACCGCCACTGCTAACATGGAATACTGGTTTCCTTCGTGGTTCATATCGATGAATTTACAAATGTACCTTACGAACCTGCCGCGAAGGGGGATGCATATCCAGCTGTCGACAACGAGAAGGATCCCAGATGACTCTGCGTCCATCAACTTCGCCATGCAAGGAAACATCGATGGTCTGAGATTCCTGTTCAGTCAAAAGCTAGCACACCCAAAGGATGTCAGCCAATCCCGGGGACCCCAATGCTACATCTTGTCGACAGTCTCAACATCCCATGTCTCCGTCTGATACTCGAGAGAGGCGGGAATCCGAATCCAATAATGCCGAAAGGTATATACCGGAGCAGTCCCTTGACGGCCGCGGGCTTTGCCGGAATGCCGGAAATGCTCAAATTGCTTCTCGACTTTGACGCAACCCCTAAGCCATGCAACCCCGAAGGGTCGACGACCTTGCATTTAGTCGCTCGTACATAGAACGTCGAATGTGCACGCCTGTTGCTCTAGTATGGTGCGGATCTGAATGCCATCTCTGGCAACGGCGTGACTCCGCTCACAACAGCAATCATGCATAATAACCATGCAGTCTTGAGACGATTTGTTGATCACGGCTACGAATATATCACCACTGCACGCCTTAGAGGTAGGTTCATGCTTCATTCTGGAGGGGATTGTCACGCATTTGTATGACTACAAAATAGGTGTAGCAAAAGCTCACGTACTCGCGCTTACCCTCGGGTGTCAATCTCCTCTCGGCCGTTGCGGAGTACGCCGACGTCGAAACCATCAATATTCTCTCCTCGACGCATCCGATGAAGGTTCAGTAAGATCTCAGGCCTGACAGCCTTGCCGCAAGTATAGAAGTCTTGCAGCAACGTCGCGACTACAGCGAAGATATGTTACAGGCTTTCGAGGGGCTTATAGCCATCGCCACAGCGGAGGAAGCCGAGTGTCGCTCGATTGATAGTTTAGTCGAGTCGGGCCTTTTCCTCTCTGCAAAGTCGTCGTTTCACGAGGAGTTGGCGGAAGCCCTCGCTCAGCTTGAATCTGCTGTAGTTAGCCCTACGATAACTGATGGCTGGACTGCCAAGAGGGTTTGAGCGGATAGGAAAATACTAGGCTAGACGTATTGGACGACTGGGCGATATACCACTGACCTCTTCAATAAGATACGAGTGATGATCGACAGTTTCAAGTCTATGGGCCCTGGTGAACGTAGGAACCAGACCATCGAGGCCGCACAAGCGCGATATTTACCCCGCCACGGTCCGAGTAGCAAAACAACCGCGTGGATTGGCGGACTGTTCTCGCTTATACCTCCACTACAAGTGGGTTGGTGCAGGGGGGGACTCCTGCTGCTCCTTGTGCTCCTTGCTCCTCTGCGGCAGTATCCGTTTCTTCAGTCGGGGAAATACGGAGGATGACGTCGAAGCAGATAATCGATTACCTTCTCGCTCGTACCGACTACTTGTACTTGTTCCAAACGCGCAGGTTCAAACCTAACTTCCTCGATACCTGATGGGCGGAGAGGTAATTCTCCACCACCAACAAAAGCATAATTCTTTAGATCACGGATCTAACCTTTCTACCATTGCCCTCTCAAAAGGTTCGAGTTTCAGATCTACCACGTAAGATCTGACTAATGTCATGTCTGACCTCGACGCCACGGTGAGTGATTTGGTTGAATTTCTGGCAGCCTTCTAAATCAGACTTGAAAGTCAATAAACTGAACAATACGTGTGCAACTCTAGGCGAGACCGAGTGGACCAAAAACGGCCGCTACACGGGAAGAACAGACATTGCACTGACGGCGGAGGGCGAGCGCCAGGTCGAGGGCACTGCAAAGCTGCTCGTCGGCACTGGCAAGCTTATCCACCCGGATCGGATAGCGCGTGTGTGGGTTAGCCCACGGATGCGGGCACAGCAGACCTTTCGTCTTCTGTTTCGTAACAGCGGCTCTGAAGTCTCACATGACAAGGTCACACTGACCGAGGATATCGCCGAGTGGGACTACGGCGACTACGAGGGCTTGGTGGTCGACGAGATTGTCCGAACACGAAAAGCCAAAGGCTTGGATCAAGACCGCAAGTACAATACCTGGAGGGATGGATGTGAAGGCGGCGAGTATGCTTTTACCAGTGTTCTAACTCTGTCACATGCGGCTTGGAACGAATGAAGGACGAATCAACGCTGACTTGGTGGACCTCTTGAACAGATCACCGCAACAGGTGGCTGAGAGGCTAGATCGCTTGATTGCACAGATCAAGGAGGTCCAGGCGCCACATATGAATGGAGAGAAGCCGGTTGATGTCGTGCTGGTAGGGCTCCATCCTAACACGGCCAATGGCTATTCTGCCCCGACGAATCTGACTTTCGAGCAGGTCGCACACGGCCTCATCCTCCGTTGCTTTGTCAAACGATGGCTGAAATACCCCCATAGATGACCCATTGCCGATGATGTTCTCACCGGGGGCGATTGCGATGCTTAGCTACAAGAACCATGATATAGACAGTCCGGCATTCTTTATTGGTATGGCATTGCCTTCTCAGCCCTAGAGGAGAAAGAAAGAGAAAGAGATACAGAGAGCCCCTCATGGCGAGGGTTACTTCCAAGTGTTCCACATCCAGCTACGACGAGGAAGCCAACACTTAAGATCCTGTTCTGGATGAGAATGTTGGACTCGGTAGGATCGGCAGACAGAGAATACGACTAGCTAAGTTGCAATTACAGAGAGGGTATATGGTAGTGGATAAGCGACTAGGACTACCTCAAAGGCAGGGCAACGAACATCCATAAATATCACGATGGGACTGGGACAAGCTCATTGGAGGGCATTCGAGGAGGAAACCTCGACCACAATCTTCCCTCTCGCGTGACCGGTCTTGAGTTTTTCAAACGCCTTAGGAGCTTGGTCGAAGGAGAATTTCTCGTCGATCACGGCTCTCACCTTGCCTTCTTTCATCCAGCCAGCAATCTGTTCCAGGTCCTTTGGTTTCGCCTTTGTCAAAAACGAGACCGACTTCCGCTTTCCGCCCCCGAGGAAGGCAGGCCACATTTTTCTCAGGATCGCGTCCACGATGAAGGCCCGAGAAAGTTGCCCCCCGACGACTATGAACAGGGCCCCGGGCCGGGTGTACTCGTGGCACTTCCAGTAGAGCTCGAAGTTGGAGGCGACGTTGTCGACGACATGGTCAAACTTGTGCCCGCTGGCCTTCAGAGCCTCGAGCACATTCTGCTTCTTGTAGTCGATGACCGCGTCCGCTCCGAGACTTTTGCAGAGCTCGACGTTGCCGCTAGAACAGGTTGTCGTCACGTTGCACCCCGCGGCTTTCGCAATCTGGATGCCGAAGATCCCTGTTCCGCCAGAGCCGCCGTTGATGAAGACGCTGTCTCCGGACTTGACATAGGGGACGATGGATTGGTAAGCAGTCAATCCTGCCACAGAAACTGTCGATGCCGATATCGGGTCTATGCCGTCCGGAAGGGCCATCAGTTGATCCCCTTTCGAGATGGCGTATTCGGCCAAGCCACCTCCGGCCCAAGGTGTTGTTCCTGACGCCCCGAAGACAAGTTGGCCAGGTTTCAACGACGATCCGGCTGCGGGGGTGACAAGATAGCCTGCGACCTTTTAGATGTCTGTCAGCCTGTACTGCCATTCGCGGGGGAAACCACATTCGCACGGCAAATTGGTCTTCAAAGGAGCGAGCTTACATCGATGCCGGGAGTTGCTGGCTTGCGAATAGCGAAGCGGCTAAAAAGCCTGACTTCTGCGACCTTGTAGTCGACAGGGTTGAGTGATGCGGCTAACACCTGCACCAGATGCTGTTCGCGGGACGGTTGCGGTACTGGGGCAGACTCATTGAGGCGGAGGTTCTTCTCGAGGCCGCCCTTGGTGCTTGAATATTGCCATGCTCTCATCACAGCCGGGGGAGACATATTGCAGATGACCCGCTGATCAACAGCAATTTCAGGCCTTTATAAGTGATGCATCGTCCATTGTCGCTGAATATATGCCTGATGTGTCAGTCCACCCTTTTTGCGAACACGAGGTCGGAGGGTCGGAGGGTCGGACCCTCGGTGCAATTCTTGATCCCGTGCACTATCAAAGCGTCATCTCCGAATTTACAGAGACACTGCTTTCTCAAGAATTTTCCCCAATGTCCTGCGTTGTTGACATATATATATATATATATAATTTTCTGTTAGGGATTCCTTGGCAAGTAGATAGAGTCTAACGATAAGCGTGTATATAAGTTATCCCTATAGTATATGGTCGATACTGTACACGACTCAAAGCACAAGAGAGGAAAGAGTGCGCCTCCTATGCGGGGAGTGTGCTAGTAATAAGGATGCACTCCTCGAGTCGCATCTCTTGGCTGGTGGCCTGATTGTATTAGGCGTCCGTCCTTCCGATGTTTAGCCGAATCCGTAACAGCTACATCGGCAAAATTTCCCGCGCGACCCTAAGAGCCCTGAGCTGCCCTAGGCTATCAAGGTAAGTCTGCGTCTTACGTAGCCCATGAGACCGCTAGGCTCGCTGAGCTACTCTAAGAGAGCCCTAGGCTAATATAATAATTTATAACTTTACGAATATATAATTATACTAGTCGTTTAAACTAGTACTAATTAAAATTATGTTATATTAGAATTAGAGTAAATATATATAAAATATAAGGTTTTAAACTAAATCTTAAATTATTAGCTTAATAGCTTTAGTATTCACTAAGTTAAAGACTTAGCAAGTTATTCGCTTTTAGCGTAAATCTTATTTCCGAAATAGGAAAGACCTTTTTAAATTTAATAATATTATATAATAAGTATATTATAAAAGTTACTAAAAATAGATGGTCTATAAGGGCTCATAGCCTCGATATAAGAGCTGTGAGCGACTGTGAGCTCCCTGGGCTCCCTGGGTATACAAGAATGCCGTGAGTCGCGGGAAAAATTGCTGATGTGATTCTTTGACGGGCGTAACATGGATTTCTGCTGCAAGCTCGCCGTCGTTTCACGTTCTAGAAGCCATCCTTGTTCGAGCAGCAACAGTACCAACGCGGCCGTGTAATGATTTTAGGCTTAGACCACTTCGATGAGAGACGCGATGTTGAGATCTGACACCAGTAGGATGCCGAAAATCGAGCGACAGTGTTCTGGGGCTGATCGCTTGAGAAAGAGCACGTGTCTCGTCGAGGATTCTCATGTTATTCGCCGTCACGAAGTTCAGCCAGTGTCTAAGTGGTTACAGTCAGGGTGGTTTTTGATACTGGATCGAAAGTATCGATAACAGGAACGCCTAAAATCATACCCGAGCTCCCTTAATCTCGCCTAAAGGTCCGCTGAAACCAGCTTTATTTATATTTTTCCTTTTAGGGGGCTTCTTCGTCTATTTTGGGGGCCTCCTTTCCTACTCTAGCGCCTACCATGCCTAAATCGCAAATGCCAAGAGTATCGAAAGTATTATCGATACTTTCGATCTAGTATCAAAAACCACCCTGGTTACAGTCCAAGTAAACTTGAGACCATGAGGTTTAAGCGCAGAGATGAATAAGGCCTACTCATTCATTAAAGCCTGCACCATCAACAAATTCTGGATGTGCGCGGAGTGTCGCAGGTGGCATTCATTCATTGTACCCTCGGCGAAGACGTAGCCAATCCGTGCTTTCACCTTCGTTTGAAAGGCCCAACGTAGATATCTTTCCTTTCAAGTCGCAAATGTCCCCCTCCAGCTGCCAGGATAAACATATTCCATAGGTCCAGCTACTCTTGTGGTCAGTCAACCCCCTTATAATTGAGAGATCGATTTTGACTGGTGATAAGTAATTGCCGAAGGTGTTGCAGATCTTGTTGCAGTCGCACAGTGGCTTTCGGAGTGTCTTTGAACTTTCGTTGTATCTCGAGAGTGCTTTGGAAGTATCGGCCATCACAGCCACAAGTGTGATAAGGCTGGCGCCAAATCCTACGAAAGTGACTGTCGCTGTGACGGGATCCATCCTAGCAAGAGCATGCGAATGAAAACTTCAAAACCGTTGCGGATAAGTGGGTAAGTTTTGGAGCTGGGGTGGCCATCCAAGTTTCAGACAATATGAGGAACCCAAATGGATCTTTTAGCAGAAGACGCTCAGTTCCTGGAGCTTGCCGAGAAATCTCAAGTGTCGAAACTAACTCCGTCGACTACGATGCCGCCCTCTTTCAACACTTTTTTGTGTACGATATCGGCCCGGATTCGGACCGCCCGAGTCTTGCTCTCAAATTCTGGCCTGCGACCCTTCTCGGCCCCCCCATTAGGCTTGATCTATGGAGGGCGTAGGACACCGTTCGTCGATAGAGGGCGGGGCTGCCTAGGTCTCGTACGCATATAAATTAGCGCCTACCAGGTGACGGAGACAATCTACCCAAGGGCCTGTCGATGGCGACGCCTATATAGGAGAAGACGCCCATGTTGGAGGGGATAGACTTGGGCAGAGCAAATGTAGACTCCTTTTGATACCCTGTTTGCGCAACCCCGCCCCCGACAAATCTATACCACTGCCACAACATGATTTTGCAGGGCTAATGCTTTTTCCGCCATGGCTATGCAGTCCGTGCCGTAGATAAGCTTCTGCACGTCTTGATCCGCCCACTTATCTGGGACTCTCCCCTTGCCACGCGCCGCCTTGAGCTTCGCAAATTGGAGGTCTCGCTCATCTTTGGCAGCGCCCTCACCCAAGTGCAGCTCTCGCCCAGACGATGCCGCCATCTCCACCAACGTCTCGGCTCTCTGCTTCCGGGTCTCCTCGTAGCATTTCAAAGCGCCGTAGATCGTTTCTGGTGAGGTGTCTTTGATCCTGGAGAGGCAGACGCCAAGCACTGCACCGTCTTCGATCGCTTGGACTGCTCCCTGAGCCAGATGAGGTAAAGTCGGATGGCAAGCATCTCCCAGCAACGCCACACTCCCTTGGATCCACGTCGGCAGGGGCTGGTGGCCTCGCAATTTCCACTCGCAGACCTCGCCGTCCGGGACTAGGTCGAGCATGCGACGGATCAGGGGACAGAAATCGCCAAAGACCTGAAGCATCGATGTTTTGGATCCCTTGGTCGTATATGTTGTAGAGGCGGCGGCGGCGAAGTTGACGTCCGGTTGTGTCGTCGACAGGTTGTAAATGGACTTGTTGGCAATCAGGTATGCAATGATGCGACGCTTCGCGCGATCCAACGCGTCACACGCTCCGTGTTGATTAAAGACAGCAGTTCGGAGTCGTGCTGCATTTGCTCTCTCGTCAACATGATCCGATACGCAGCCTGGCCCGTGTCCTGGACATTGTCTTGTATACCAAGGGCTGCCAAGAGGCTTTGGCGAATTGTGGATTTGACACCGTCGGCCGCGAGAAGAATGTCGGCAGTGACCTGATAAGGAGTCCCAGAGCGTGTTATTGCAGTGAAGCTGGGTTTCGGCGAGAAGGATGCGAGCCCTTGGGCTTTTGTCGAAAAGCCGAACCGAATGGCCGGCTGCCGCTTGCAACCTTGGTAGAGGGCATTCACAAGAGAGGCTCGGTGGCCGACCATGTGCTCGTAACCATAGGTTTTCTCGATATAATCCAGCGGTATGTGAGCGAGCTCATTATCGGTAGCACCATCTACTCCGCAATGGTCAGCCGGTAATTTTTTGGCGCAAAGCCTCTGTCACAGCTTAGTCTGCTAAGTCCCAAGTAGTTGGCGTACCTCATATGGAAGTGTCGCGGCACGCGACCGCTTCTTCCGCGATCTCTTTCCACACCCCTAGTCGGTCAAGGACACGAGCTATATTGGGAGCGAGCTGAATGCCCGCTCCGACAAATCCCAGGTCAGCCGCCATTTCGAATACTTGGATGTGTTGGAAGCCAGACTGTGCAAGTGAGAGGGCGGTCGTCAGCCCTCCAATCCCTACGCAATGGTGGTCAGGGAGACTTCACCAGCAGATTCATACCGGCATATGAATACGGTGTCAACTGGAGGGCTCACCTGCTCCAATGATGCGTATCTTCAACGATTCTACGCCCTCGTGATTCATGTTGTTTGGCATCTGTAGCGCTCTTGCTGTGTTGACGGCAGAGTGTCGATTATTGATTGTCGATTGACGTGTTTGACAGCGACATCTTCAACGATCAGCTCGATCTTGCAATTTTAAGCCTGAAGGGCTTTTTATTTCGACGCTTCCATCGGCTTCAAGATAAGGTTAGCGGGAAACGGGAAACACGTACCCTACTGGACGAAGTCTCGTTGTCGACCCACTTTCCAGAACGATTCAGTAACCTCAATCCCGAAAACGCCATACGCACGTGATATCACGTGATCTAGCAATTGTACTTTATATAGTACAGACCGCAGGCAGATTCTGCAATCAACACACTCCCCTTGGTTTCTTACGCGCCCCCTACTACACCAAGAAACGGTGACGACGGCATAAGAACAGACGGCCTGTCCGCCTCTGTGACTCCTGCTTAGCTCATCACCATCACACGCGTGGCTTTCGATCACCGTCCGCCATCATGAGGGTTGCGTGGACTCGTGCCATTCGCTTCGTCGCCCCCGACGGCCGAGTCCTACGGGGAGAGCCGATTCTTCCTGCTTCCGACGTCGACATAGGCAAATTGACCGAGGCAGACGCCCTCCAAGCAAAGGTCATCGTAGGCGACGATCTGTACGACGAGTCTGGGGCAACCTACGTCAGTGAAGAAGTCGTGGCTGTGAAGAAGTTGTTAGGGCCCCTTGCTCAAAGCAATGTTCCCATCCTCAGATGTATTGGATTGAATTACCTTCGACACAGTACGTTCATCTCCATTTCCCAATAATCGGTTTTATTTTTTGTATTTGACACTGCAAGCTGATGTGAGAACACGTATAGTTCTGGAGGTTCCTGGCCGGGAGCCACCGCCATTCCCATCCATTTTCTTCAAGTCCAACACCACGGTGAATGACCATGATGCTGCGGTGATCATTCCTAAAATCTGTCAGGACGATCAGGCCGACTACGAAGGAGAACTGGTAAGTCTGCCCGACCGTTTCAAGCTGATCTTTACTGGTTCCTGTTCGCGCATTAACGTTTGGTGCGGGTCAGTGTACCGTCATGGGCAGAGATGCTAAAGATGTATCTATCGATACCGCACTTGAATACGTTGCCGGATTCACCTGCGGCAATGACCTTTCCTCCAGAAAGCATCAAAGGGACCCTGCGTATGCCGGTAAGATCCCTCAGTGAGGTTTTTCCAAGGGTTTTGACGGCTACGCGCCTCTCGGCCCTTGTATCGTTTCAACGGCTTTAGTAGGCGACCCTGAAAAATTGCATCTAAGAACGATCGTGGACGGGGAAGTGAGGCAAAACACGGCGTTGAACGACCTTTTGTTTAGCTGTGCATATATAGTCTCATATCTGAGCTCGGGTACGACTTTACAAAAGGGAAGCGTGATCATGACAGGTACTCCTGGCGGTAAGTTAACTCCGACCGAACATAACTATTGTTCATTAATATTACAGCATTCGCGTTAACTGATTTGTTCTATTTACAACAGGGGTTGGCGCTAGTTTTAATCCACCAAAATACCTGAAGCCTGATACAGTGATGGAGGTAGAAATTTCCAAAATCGGCACGTTGAGAAACTATGTAGAGTTTGCATAATGAATGTGTGCATGCTGTGTGATAATCCAAGCACGAGCCCTCTGCCATTTGGTCATCCTCTATTTAGATGGCGTTTTGGATGGATAGAAAACTTTGAACATTTGATCGCCTCAGCAGTGCGTTATTCAAGTTTTTCCAATATTGTGCATTGAGGCTGTGACAAGGCAGAAAATGAGCTTCTCGGTGAATATGTAGGGGCACTCAACCGCCTGTGGTCGTTTTCTCCCTATCCACAAGAGAAGACTCCATCGAGCCAAGAGGTCACGTAACTTCTTCGCCACAGAAAATCCCTTGATTGTCGCCAAGAAAGTTGCTTTGGCTGTACTGCCAAAGGAAGTCGTTTGCAACCTGAGTTATGCTTTGCGTATAGTTGTTTGGTTCATAGTCGAAAGTTGATTCTGCGGGAATCAATGTGATCTCCGCCGCGGAATGATCCATCAGGCTGTCTGGTGTGGCGTGTTGTTGAGACACTGGAGAAAAAGATCAGTTAGATCGGACCTCCACGGTCAAAAGCACGTTGTAAAAAACAAAACTGACAACTTGTAAAGGATTGGTTGTCCCAACTGACCGAGAGAGTCAAACGCCTCCAAAAACTCAACAAGGCACTGCCGAGCTTTGCGAGCCATGATGCTTGTCCGTTGAATATATTTCATGGTTCGTATCCCTTCATTAAGCTGTTCGCGAACCTCGGCCAAAGAGATCCCGACGGAGGATATAATGTCGCCATGTTGGTGATAGAGCAGAAGAATACAAAAAAGGTTCAAGTTAACCGTGAGCACTGTAACAGATCAGCGGTCAGGATTGTGCCTAGGTTCAACCCAGGGTTGTCGTGGCACCTACTGGTATAGCTACACGTCCACCAAGCAACCGTCTGATCAAGGAACCGCTCATCGTAGGTGCTCATAGTCTGGATGATCTGATGAAGCTCCCGAACAGCTTTGAAGCCATGGCTGACGATTGGCACAATATGTTCTGACATCAGGCCCGAGTCAATTTTCAACTTCTGTGTGTCAACTGTCTCGCTCAGGGCCCAGGTAAGTACAGGGGTATTTATAAGCATCAGGGCACGATAATAGTGAGCAGAAAGAACGAGCTGAAACCGAAGGGTACCCGGTGGAAACGAGAGTGAACCTCGATCGAAGCCAAGTGTCGAAATGATCCGATAAGAGGGGTCTAGCGATTGACGCCATGTTTCCAGCTCCCATTGGAGAGGAAGCCTTTGGGTGATGAGATCTTGGATTCGGACGGGCTTGTCGGAGTCAATATTGTCGTTATACAGACGATGGATGACCGATTCAAAGATTTCGCACACTGAACTGCAGATTCTGTTAGCAACTAGTTGTGGCATTTTTATAAAGACCCCTGAGATTCGTACGTGTGATGATGATGGTAGATGACACTATCACCATGATTGGGAGCTATGACGGGGATGGCACGCGGGATTGTGCGCGGGTCAAGAGTATTTTGAGTGCGGATGTATTGCCTTGGGATGAGGCAAGGCCGACCCAGCGACAGACTCAGTACTCTGCTGAGTGGTTAGAAACTAGGCATAGACGATGCCTGTTAGCGGCATACCTGTCCTGATTGATCAAGCTGTACCACAACCTCTTCCTCAGTTCGCTTTCTTGCAGACCATATTCTTTGTATCCGAGCGGGGAATGCAACCCAAGCTGAAAGGCTGTCTTAACCGCAAGAGCGTGATATGTCCAGCTGGTGATGGATAACTGATGGTTTTGCTGATAAGTGGCGATCAACAGCAGAGCTTGGACTATGTCAGACGTTAATCGAGAATTTCTGCGGGCCACGATACGTTATGCATCACGAACCTAGCTCGATACTTGCTCCTCTAAGTTGACGCTCAGTTAAGCATGCAAGGGCACGACATATAAAGGCGTCGGAGTTGCCCTCACCTAGGGATGCCGATGACAACGCAAATACAGCATTCAGCAGAGCCAGTTTGGCACCGACATGTGGCTGAGACTTGCTATTTCTCAAGCTGTTACAGTGAGACACCAAGGTTGAATGGCTCACGAATGGTAAAAATTCTCCTGCCGAGATGAAGAAGTGGTCGATCAAGACCAATGATTCGGACTCGGGCGGCATTGCCGTCGCGGTGATGTCTTTAGGATTAATCTGCCTCGCCGATTGTTGTGTTGGCCTCGCTTGCAGTCGGCTGGAAGATGGCCTATGCTCCCTGGACTTTACATTCTGTCGTTGAGACGAGGCAATGCTGACAATGCGAGCAAAAGCATCCGATATAGTGCGAAAGAGGGCATGGTTGGAAGAAGGACCTACGACGGTAGACGTCAATAAAGGAGGAGAAGAGATGAATACAGATGAAATCCCGACCAAAGTGTCCAATATTCGATTCGGACTCCTGGTTGAATGTCAGAGTCGCCAGCAAATCGACGGCAGCTTCTTGATCTGAGTCCATGCTGTCGGATATCCTGGGCTGCGCCGAAGTATGGGCGTGAATAGAAGGCATTGGTGATGACGCCGTGGGGGAATCATCGGCATCTGGCCCTGGCCCCACCGAGTATCCAAGCAGTGGCCTTGAAGGAAACTCTGGCTGACCGGCGCCGAGCCTGGATTCCAGCTCATGGACCTTTGCAAGTAGTTGTGCCCTCCTGTACAATCAAAATTTAGTCCGGTGCCATTGCCAAAGGGCCCGCTCTCAACATACCTCTGGAAGCGTTGATTTCCATCGTTCGGCTGAGCCGGTTGCAGGTATTCGCAATGGAGATGAAGTTGAGCACACGAGCGGCACCTCGGCCGCTCGCCGTCGCACTTGAACCGGTTCAGACTCTAGACCCATTGACGGTAAGCACAGGTGAAGCGTACCCGAGACTTGCGGTTCCGGCAGCGTGTGCAGGCGAGCGCTATTCGGCTGCGTTTGACGACTTTGGAGCGCGCAGTCGTGTGAGGTATAGGACGGATGGCAGAAGGGGGGGAATGGTTGCCAGGGCTTGTCGCAAGCTCCGACGCAGTCCTGGAATTCATGGTGGCAACGTCGTTCCAATTCGTTCCAATTCGTTCGATATGCAAGCGTGTCGGCAAGTTGACATGCATATGCCGATGACTAGGCCCGAGACAACAATGTGAAATCAACGAGGAGAATCAGAACCACCCGCTCGGAAGGAGAGGTGCTTATAGAATCTGGCCGCGAAGCATACGCGGGACGAGGGGCGCGAGGATCGAGTGTGCGCCGTTCCAAGCCTGGGCGCAAATAGGCAACTCTGGCGAGCCCAACAAAAACCTCACCAAATTTTTCACTTGTCGGCCGCCAATCTGGACACCAGAGCCCTTGCACATGGCCGCTGGATCCAACAATATGACCGATGAGCGGGACAGACCGAGATCGACTCCTGTGAGTGCTGCAGAATGCTGCAACTTGCCACACGAGAAGTTTGTCTGGCCCGGCTCTCCGGGGAGGGGATGAAAGTCGTCGGGCACTTCGAATCCGATTTGTGGGTGTGGACACGCCCGCGCCGCGAATCACTCCGCATGAACGACCCCTGGGCCGACGGGAGAGCAGGTCCCAGAGCAGAAGACCATTTATACGAGTGCCGGGCGACGGCTTCGCTGAGCTGCTTGGAGGCGCCAGGGACCACGAAATTCGAAGAATCATGGCGTTTGTGAATCTCGTGCTAGACCACTCGGCTCCTTTGCTCTGCTGCATCGCCACCACCGTCTTCCTCACCTACATTGTGTACCAAAGATGCTTCCACCCTCTAGCAAAATACCCTGGACCATTCCTGGCATCTCTTACCGACTTGTGGCAGGTCTATCAATTCCTCACTTTGAAGCAGCCATATCGTCTGACCGAGCTCCATGAAAAATATGGCCCGTTCGTTCGATACGGGCCCGATAAGCTCAGCACAACCTGCGAAAGCGCGATATCTCTGGTCTTTCAGAAGGGCGGTCGGCATATGCCCAAAACCGAGTTTTACGATGCCTATGGCGCTGCGCACCCAAATGTCTTTGGCATGCGAGACGAGGCAGTACGTATCGTTGCTTCGAAAGCGTGTAAAGACTGAACTTTGGCTAACCCCAGGCTGTGACAGCAACACTCGTTACGACGTCGGCACATGTCTCATTCGTTTTCAATTGCCTCCGTGAAGGAGATGGAGGAGTATTTGGACCTCAACATTGGCATTCTGAAACAAAAGCTTGACAACTATGCCCTGTCTGGCGAGGAATTCGACCTAAAGAAGGCATTTCATTATTATGTCATCGACACGCTGGGAGAGCTCGCCTTCAGCCAAAGTTTCGGGGTGCAGGTCAGCGACGATGAGTCCCTCGTCCCGCCCGTAAAGGAGCATAGTCTTCTGGCTGCAGCGACCGGATCGTGGCCAGCCATGCTTAGCAAATTGAAGCAGTGGCTGCCTCTCGTTCCATATCAGCCCCTGCAGAATCTGTTCCGGGGCAGAAAGGCGTGTGCGGACTTGGCAGCCAGATGTGTCGCTCGAAGGTTGGATGACCTGGCCGACGTCAAGGACGATGACACCAGCATTCGAGCCCAGAGAAAGGATATTCTTACTAGTCTCATCCTCGCAAAACATCCCGATACGGGAGCACGGCTGACCAAGACCGATCTAGAAACCGAGGCCTTTGGGTTTATGTAAGTACCCACGCCCACTTCAATTTCTTCCCTCGACTTACCACGAGCCTCCGCGACAGTATTGCAGGGACTCATACAACTTCGGCAACAACAACTCTACTCTTCTATCAGCTTCTCCACCACCCCGAGATGCTTGCAAAACTGGTGTCGGAACTCGACCGCAACCTTCCTCCATTAAATTCCCACGAGACCTCCCATTCCATTACGCTTCTTGAGGCCTCCCTTCCATATCTTCGCAACTGCATCAAGGAAAATTTTCGCATCAATCCTGTCTTCACTATGCCTCTCGCTCGACGTGTTATGCCCGATGAAGGCATTATCATTGACGGCGAACACATTCAAGCAGGAGTAAGTGTCGCGCCTTTTTTGCTACACCCCTGTCTTTTCCTCCTCTCCCTCCTTGTCTGATCCAAATCTGAACTGTCACAGACCTCAATTGCGGTTTGCAACCATGCTTTTCACCATAATCCGGCCGTCTGGGGACCAGATCACAATACCTTCCGCCCCTCGCGCTGGGATGAACCAGACACCAACGCCCGCTCCCGCTTTCTGATGCATTTTGGCCTCGGGGGTCGTCAGTGCATTGGGAAAACCATCGCCACGACTAATATATATAAATTGACGAGCTCGTTGCTCAGTGATTATGAGTTTGAGCTCGTCGGCAAAAACCAGCCCGCGCCAAGCCCTGCGGGCGTGCCAGAAGACGTCGAGCACTGGGCGAAAACTAGAGCCTCTCAGTGTAAATTTGCGGAGCTGGGAGCCGTAGAGCATGGGAAGAGCGATGTACCGCCCCTTGTCAGTGTTGGCATCAGTGACCTGGAGGGGTCGCTGCTTGTGAGGTGCAAAAAAAGGAAGAAAGCGTCCGAGAAGATCTAGAGGTTCTGTGCAGTTGTCAATCTCAATCAGCTATGCTACGTCTTGTATGCTCTCTACCGGCGATTCTGAATAGACACGAGAATTCTCTCTCTCTCTCAATTCTTTTGTCATATGTCAACGCACTTTGCGTCAAATCCACCGTGACACAGACATACGCCTGGCCCGTTTTCAGTCTAATGGCACTCCACCAATACAAATCACTACAAGACACGCGACATGAATGGCAGGAATTTTCGTATTTGCCAGGTTTATTCGTCGCTAGGCTGACTCAGACGAGCAAGATGCATCCTAGGCGTTTATGGGCCGTTCAAGGACAAGGACTTGTGGCCCGTCGGAAAACATGACCTATGGACCACTGGGGTGCAGGCGTCGGTCGGAGCACACGTACAGGATGGATAATCTCACTTCTAGGCTATCATGCTTCTCGTGCGAGAACGCCAGGACGTGTCCAATCTAATAATGCTCATCCGTCATTCTCACTATGAAGTTGTGGTTGAATCGCTCATCCGTCATTCTCACTGTGACGTTTTGTGGGCGGAATCGCCCGACCAAGTCTACTCCTGCGGCCAGCCGGGGATCAGCTTGGGAAGGGCATGGCTGTAGTCTCCGCCATGGGGCATTCGAAGCAAGGTGTGGATGTGAAACTTGGCCGGCTCCTTGTTATCGAGAAAGACGCCCGAATGATGGTCAAACTCGACGAGGATGACGGGGCTTTGGATGCGATAATAGAAAGGGCCGAGGTCGCTAAAGCCTCCGATCCACGAAAAGTCCGTCTCGGAGAGAAAATCTCGAATCTGGGCGAGCTACATGGCCCGCGGCCGCTCGGGCAGGTAGAGGAGGAACTGGTCCAGAATCGCAAACACCAGCGAGACCTAGGCGGCGTTCATCTGCGACACCAAGATGCCCTGATAGGGCAGGCCGCGGTTGTCGCGATACGCTCCGGAGACGTGCCGCTGATCATCGTGATTCCACCGCCCCTCCGGCATCTCCGGACCCCTCATCTGCTTGTGCGTCTGGGCCTGCGCCTGCAGTGTCTCCACCAGGCTTTGCATCAACAGCAACCCAAGGGCCTCTTCGTCGTGCAGGATCCGGGTCCCCTGGTAAGGGCCTTGGTCGATGAAATTCAGCTCGGCGCCCGTAAACCACAGCGAAATTGTATGAGTACTCACTCATCACGCCGGGAGCGCGCACAAGCTCGCCGAGGAAATGATTGATTCTCATGGCGCCCAGTGCTTTTGCGTAGCGTAGGACCAGGATCCACTGCTCAATCAATCACTCTCGGCACCACGCTCGCCGCCGCCTTGACAGGTCCCCGAGGGGGGGGTTCACTCACTTTCTGGCGACAAGGTGCGCTTCAAAATAAGCAGGACGCCGTCCCTGACTGGGGGACTGACCTCGTCCAGCCTGATGCCCTTGTGAGATAGCAAGAACTCCGGGTTGGATCATGTGCGCCATTCGGGCGCGTATCACATGTAGGCTGCGAAGCGAGAAGGGGAGGAGTCGCAATGACTATGGAAGGGCTGCAATGCCTCAAGGAGAGGAAGAGTCAGAAGGACTCTTTACAAACAAAGGAGAGCCTCGTGCTATCCCAAATCAGGCTTAGCAACGTCACGTGATAGGGCGTCGACGTGGTAGGAGACGACCTGTTTGTCTTCGTCGGAGAGTTGGGCGAGGAGACTTGTTGCCGCAGCCACAATGTCATCTACCGGGACCGCTTCGTCCTCCAAATGGTGAAGATCAGGTCGAACTACGCCTGCGCGCGAGCCAGGTCAATGTTGATGTTGACGTTGTCGAGGGGGAGATAGGATGGACACACCCCATTCTCGCTCACACCTTTGAAAGGCTCTTTGGCAAGCTCCAGCCACAACTGATACAGCGCAAAGATCCACGGCGGTTGACCCGACCTTTTCAAGTCTTCTGCATATTCGTGAGCATTCTGCTTGGCCATTGTCACGAACCTCGGCGTGCTCAGATCGGGGAGGCGGTCTCGAAAGTGTTGCTGCGCCGTGTTCGCATCAAGGACGCGTTGACGCTGGGCTTTCTTTTTGCCTACAGGTTGAATTCCTCGACCAGGACTGCGTCTGCTGCCCCTATAGATACATTCATGTCGTTCAAACGGGGACATACACTGCGTCGCTTGTGCAAGCGTGCCGTGCGGTTGCGTGTGATTGCGTGGTCTCCTCCGGACGTCTAGATGATAGATGGTGGCAGGAACTCCACCCGCTTCCAAAGCCACCGGTCTGGTCCATGCTAGGGCCATTTCGGGGGTGCGCACATTCCCAGCCCCGTCGGGAAGCGGCGTTCCCGATGTGTGAAGTCTGACGGCCTGGCTTTAATCGGCCATTCTGGCTTCAGAGCTCTTTCTGAAATTAAGGTTTGGGAATTGTTTAATCCCCGTTCGATGTGTTTGGAACCGCTGTGCGCATTACGGTTAACGCACCGGGGCTGAACACTTGATCGGGGGAGGTTCAGGAAATCCGGGGCGGAATGGATGAGTAATTTCTCCCCCGTCTCCGGTCCCTCCTGGCAACCCCGACCACTCTGAATAAGGCTTTCCCCGCAAGAATACCCCGGAACTTCACCCACATATTAAACAGCGGGCAGTGTATTCGACCTTCCTTCTCCCACTCCCACTCCCACTCTTTTGCCCAGATCAGTTGCACTCAGTTCGAAAGCTCTTCCCCCCCCCCTCCCCTCACTACGATCTATCACAGTGGTGTGGTACGAACATGGTTGCAGCCGAAATGTCACCCACCAAAATTCATTCCGAGGTTCCATCGTCAATGGCGAGCTCTAAATCGGCTCAAGTGGAATATATTGAGAAGGAAAACACGCCAGAAGGCTCACCGGCTCGGTATGCGGCCATGTGTGGCGAACATGAACATTTGTACTGACTGAGACGTCAGGCTTAGGCATGGCCAGGCAGTTCAACAGTTGGACGAGGCGGCAGAATCCCGCCTCCGTCGAAAAATCGACCTGCACATCGTGCCAACCGTAGCCATTCTCTATCTCTTTTGTAAGTGGACGCGCACTCTCGTTGATATGCTTGTGCCCACAAGATTCCCATTTTGGATGCAGCTTTGTCGTCCTTTCATACCACGGGATCATTAAAAGACTGACAGCTCCAAGGCTTCATTGATCGGACCAATATCGGTGAGATACACGCAAGGCAACATTAACAGAATTGTCACCAGTTGATCAGGCCCCGGCTGACGCTCTCATTTCTCTCACTCTCAGGAAATGCTCGTCTTTCCGGGCTCGAGAAAGACCTTGGCCTGAAGGGCTACGATTACAATACGGTCCTGTCCGTATTCTATGTCAGCTACATCATCTTTGAAATTCCCTCCAACATGGCTTGCAAGGTGATCGGTCCCGGCTGGTACCTGCCCGCGGTCTCGCTCGGATTTGGTGTCACCACAGTGGCCTTTGCATTCGTGCGGGATATCAACGCGGCGTGCGGTGTGCGGTTTCTACTCGGTGCCCTCGAGGCGGGAGTACTCCCGGGAGTCGCATACTACATGTCGCGGTGGTAGTAAGTGTGAATCCCAGAGACTTTGGATTGCCCTTGTTCGCCCAAGACTGTTTGGCTAACACATGCGCCATCTACAGTCGGAGGGGCGAGCTCGTGTTTCGGCTTTGTCTCTATATTGTCATGGGGCCCTTTGCTGGCGCGTTCGGGGGTGTCCTGGCCTCGGCGATCCTCAGTCTCGATCACTTTGGTGGCACTAGAAGCTGGGAGATGATATTTGCTATTGAAGGTCGGCACTCTTAATTCGACTACCCGTGCTGCGACCGCGCCGGAGAATCTCAAGCATCAAGAGCTAACCTACGCTCGTTTTTGCTAACAGGAATTATCACCGTCGGCCTATCGTGCATTGCCTTTTTCACTTTGACGGACCGCCCCGAGACTGCAAGGTGGCTCAGCCCAGAGGAGAAGCAATTCGCGACGCAACGAATCTTGTCCGAACGTGTGGGATCAACAGAACTCCTCGATAAATTGGATGTCCCCAAAACGCTTCGCGGAATTTTCAACCCTGTCGGATTGACTACTGCGGTAGTTCTTCTGTTGATCAATATCACAGTCCAAGGGCTTGCATTTTTCCTCCCCACGATTGTTCGCACGATATTTCCTGATAGGTCGGTGGTGACTCAGCAGCTACTTACAGTCCCTCCCTATACATTCGGCTCCTTCGTTGTCCTTACTATCTGTTGGTTTAGTTGGAAACTTGATCGACGAAACTACTTTATGACGCTCGGCTCCTCGATCGTGATACCAGGATACATTATTTTTCTGGCCACCACGAATAGTATGGCTCGATATATTGCCACATTCCTCGTTGCCGCCGGCTCTTTTTCGTTTGGGGCCCTCACCCAGGCGCAAAGCGCGGCAAATGTGGTGTCCGATACGGCCAGGTCTGCTGCTATCGGCACAACGGTCATGTTTGGAAATATCGGCGGTCTAATTTCGACCTGGTCATTCTTGCCTGCCGACGGACCCAATTACCCCGTAGGGAATGGTCTAAATCTTGCGACAAACTCGACCATCGTTCTAACCACGCTGCTCCTTGGATGGTGGATGAGAATGGATAACAAGAAGCGTGATCGACAAAGCGCGGCGGGACACCAGGCGCTCCAGGAGGCCAGCGAGAGGCAAATTCATGACCTCGACTGGAGACATCCAGATTTCCGGTGGAAAGATTGACGGCCTTTTCTGCCGAGCCAAGAGAATACGCCTGATCATTTCAAAGTAGCGACGGTCAAGAATCAGGCCGACAGCAGACGTGCTGGAACAAAACTGAGACGGGGGAGTGCTTGGAATGTGATGTGAGGTTGCTCAGTCTGGCATATATAATGACGGGTGGTGATTGGGTTCGGCGAGTCGCGGGCCCGCTAGTACGCTTGGATGACAGAGAAAGTACATAGTCAAACGTAGGTACCCCCTAACATCAAAAGGGACGGTCAGATCCTGTGTTGACAGCAGAGCGCCACTGTGGCAAACCAATCAATCCACCAATGCTTCAACCGAGGCCTCTCTATAATAGCCTCGGTGCCACCGTTGATCGACAACGAGGTCTGGACAGATCTGGCCAGGTCCAGATCTATTCAGCGAATCGCTTGTTGCTATAGGGCAAATAGTATATAGATAGGTAGAGTCTCTCTGAAAAGCCAGAGAAGATAACATAATTAAGTAGATAGATTCACTCTCATTCTGTGTATAACAGTTATAAGCTCGGTACGGTTCTAGATCGCGCCGATATTTCTATTTACGTTGTAAATCTATCTCTTTATTAGTCTTACTCTTAATCTCGCTGTCGCTTTATTTCTTAATATTATAACCTATCTATTACGTTCCGTAACTTCTTATTGTAACAAGGCAAGGTGGCTGTGCTGTGCTGAGCTGGTAGAGCGGTGGCAGGGAGGAAAAGTTGTCTAGTCACAGTCAAACCTAAATGGGCTGGCAGAGAGGGGGGTGCGGAACAGTTTACAGTGCTGGCAGAGTGCCATTCATTAGCTTGAGCAGAGTATCATGAATTCTATGGCTTTTTGGCGCCGTCTACCTAATTCCTAAGTGTTTTATCAGTTCTGTCCTGTTCCTCGATGCTGCCGCTGTGCTAGGTGTTTGTAGCCCTAGCCGCTGCCCCTCTGGGTGATGTTGGTGTGTTGTCTTGTCAGTATCAACCAGAAACGCGTTCTCGATTCCCGATCTGCTGGACAGGCCTCTGTGCGTTGTTGCACGTGCACGCCGAACCCTGAAGTGCTCTGTTACATTAAAACTATTATTATAGACTCCGAGACCTCGCTAATTAAGTTTATCTCTATGACTCTTACTAGCGAAGAGACTTAAAATGATTAGCTCTAAATAATTAGAGTTAAGGCTAAGAGTCTAAAGTACTAGAAATATATAGATCTCTCGCTAGCTACTAGGCTAAAGCCTTCTAAGAATATAGAAGATCTTTTTATAGAAGACTAAAAACTATATAAGATTAAGACCTCGACTAATAATTATTATTATCGTAACGAGGCTAAAATACTCGATGTCATCATTAAATTCATCGATAAAATCTTTCTTATTTATCTCCGAGAGCTAACTATTAATAATAACTAAGATAGAATAAAAGCTCTTATGAAGTAAATATACTATAATAGAGCACTTTAGGATAAGTACATAGATACAGAACACATATTAGGATTGTTAGTAGGGTTATCCCTACTTATAGTCGCACGCTGCATAGCTGCCCACTTAATAGGCGGCTGGGACAGACCATGAATCAATCAATCAATCAATCAATCAATGTACTGCCAGTGCCTATTTCCTCTTCCTTTTCAGTATCTCTTCGACCGGGCTATTGTCACAGTAAAGTTTGAATTCGACGACTGCACCAAGCTCGTCAAACGTCGCTATCTCGACCTCTTTGAACATCAACGATTCGCCCATGATGACCAATTCATTATCCATCTCCGCGATTGCAACTTTCGCATTGAGAGAAATTGCACGAGTGACCACGTTTCTCTGCTTCAATCTCCAGTAGGTTAAGAGCTCCTTCATTCCGTCAATGGCTTGCTGACGACTGGTGAGAGGCGGCAAGTTCATGCCTCCAAAATAGTGTAACAAGGCAAGGTGGCTGTGCTGTGATGGGCTGTGCTGGGCTGGTAGAGCGGTGGCAAGGTGAAAAAGTTGTCTAGTCACATGTCAAACCTAAATGGGCTGGCAGAGAGGAGGTGCGGAACAGTTTACAGTGCTGGCAGTGTGCCATTCATTTTTTACAGATTGAGCAGAGTATTATGAATTCCATGGCTTTTAGTGCCGTCTACCTAAATCCTGAGAGTGTTTTATTAGTCCTATCCTGTTCCTCGATGCTGCCGCTGTGCTAGGTGTTCGTAGCCCTAGCCGCTGCCTCTCTAGGTGGTGTTGGTGGTGTTGTTGTCAGTATCAACCAGAAACGCGTTCCCGATTCCCGATCTGCTGGATAGGCCTCTGTGCGTTGTTGCACGTGCACGCTAAACCCTGAAGTGCTCTATTATAGTTAGCGACCGCGGGAAGATGATCTATTCATCGAAGATTCGAGCTCTTTACGACAATGTCTTAATAAGATGCTGCATTAAGAATTGCTGGAGTTGATGCTGAAGAGTGGAGGACACGACTGAATAGGAGTTCGAGGTTAACGACTGAAATTCACGTGGGCATCGGTTTAACCCTAAAAGACGATAAGGCTACTCATAGGGGTAGAGTCCGCTGATTATTTAGGAAACCTTTTCTACGAAAGAGTTTAGAACCGAAATGTTAAGGAGAATTTAAGATGAATGGCTCTTTTAAGAAGTAGATTAATTGATCGCGGATGGAATACTGTAGTGAAGGTATTTCCGAAGGGAAGATACCCGATTGGTAGAACGAGACGCTATGGCATTGTGGCGCATAAAGCCTAACGCGGAACTCGGAAAGAAAGAAGACTATCTCTCTAAGGCCTAGGAGTTCTCCTAGGCGAGCCGTCGAAAAAGTATACTCACCGAAGAATTAAGATATAAGAAGTAAGAAGATAGACACGCGGAACAACGAAGAAAAGAAGTAGAGAGACACGGAATACGAATAAGTTTTGAGATAGAGGAATGTTTTAATAGAGAATTCGGCATAGAGCTGTGATAGTGATTCTAGACTATTACGGTTAGATAGGTAAAGAAGATATTATCGACGACTAGCTATTACTACGTCGAATATAGTTCTCCTAGCTAATTAGTATTCGAGGTGCGAACTTAGTCGGCGCTATAGAGGTTATTCGCGTAACATTAGAGCTAATTAGGAAGGTCGGTCCTCTCGTACACGGAGATTACTTATAGATCGGGAAGGTTACGAACTAAGCATTAAAGAGCGAGATCTATCCGACTATTGAATTAAGTTCCGAGAAGAAGGCGCCTTACTAGGAGCGCAGCTAGTTTACTTATTAATTTAGCTACTACTTAAAGGAATCGAGGGTGTACGCGAGCTTCTAGACTAGTTCTTTCGAAGTATAGAAGCGATGGCATCGGAGTAATCTAGGATACCGAGGTTTCGGGGACCAGCTACGAGTACTTCTTTAGCGTCTTCCGCTATATCTTTATCTTCTTCTAGAGATTCTTTATAGCCGTCTTCGTTGAAACTAATATAGATAATGACGACACCGAATCCGACGATAATAGCGTAGAATGGAAATGAGCTAATTATATTAAAGATACCGTGGGGAAGTAAGAAGGATTTTAAATACTTATTCTTTGAAGACGTAAATACTACGGCATTCTTAGAGAATTTCGAGTATTTATCCCTATATAATCGATAGTTAGAAGAAGATCGTGCTAAAGCGGTTATTCGTTTTTATAACCGTTCCTATATAGCAATTATTCGCAACCTATCTAAATATAAACTACGAGATTAAAAAGATATTAAGCGGGAGATACTAAAGAAGTAGGAGGACGAAGATAAAGATTAGCTAGTGTTGACCCTTTTCTATTTGTAATCGCTTAAGAATAAAAAGCGAGAGAGTAAGGAAGATGTGCGTGTTTACCTGCGCGAATTTAAAAGAACTGGCGATGCCTTACTTAAAGAAGAGAAAGTGATCTCTATTTAATTAGATAGATGGTTGCTAGAAGGGTTACCGGAGCGAGATCGTAATAAAATTATCTTAGACCTAAGCATCGATTATAGAGATACTAAAATAATTAAGTACGATAAGATTTATAAAAAGGCTATGAATCGCTCGTAAGCTCACTATAATACTAACCGTTTTATAGACTCTTTAGGAGGTTAGGCTTTAAATAATCTAGTGGAAGAACGTAAAGAAAAGTTCTCGACATTGAGGTAGGAAAAGAGAAGTATAAAAGGTAAGAAAAAGAATAAGAAAACTAAGAAAACGGCTAATGAAGTATCTTCTCGAACTTCTTAGGTTGGATAAGAAATAGTGCTTCTCTCTACTAAGCCATTATTAGCGGAATACATTGATGAACTATCTAATCGTTTCTAAAGTGCGATGGTGCTAGAAATGAGAGGCTTAAAGAAATAAATGTAAGTAGTGATAGGGGTAATTAGTGCCTTAGTGAACGTAACGACAGTGAATTTAGATTTGTCTAGTTATATATCAAACCTAAATCTAGAGCTAAGATCGAGGGTGTTCGCGACCGGGAGATCTAGCTATAGGGAAGATCGACGTAATATAGTTTATTACTTTTATGGCGAGGTTAGGTATATATAGCCTCGCTGTTCGTATCTAGAGAAATACCTACGAGCTAAATAGATTTATTTTAACTCGAGAAATCATATTATAATAAAGCCTAAAGTACCGGGAAAAGATATTAAAGAAATCCGTTTCCTATAATTAAAGACTAGATTAAACTATCTTAGAAATATCTTTTATAATCTAGAAGAGCTAATAAAGAGTCTACGCGTTTCTTATCTTAGAGTAGGTCTATATAGAGACTCGACCGTAATTAATAATTCTTCGGAAGAGGAAATTAAAGAGGCTATAATTACGGCTATCCGAACGTCTAATAAAGATAAAGCGCGAGAGTCTAAAGCTAAATATAGTATAGCAGGCCATAAGACCATTCTAAAACGATTAGAGAAAGAAAAGAACTATCCGATCACGAAGCAAGCTCAATTAGAATAATATATGGAAGAGATTCTTAAAGCTACTAATTAAGTTACGGAACAACCGAGGAAAAATCCGATGAGACGGA